ATTCGAGTACGCACTCGTGCTGTCTTGGTAATACATCTATCTAGCTTATAGAAACATGCATTTTGGTCAAACCAATCTCTACTACGTACGACTTCTCTTCATGGGTTATATCATTTTTTCAACCTTCCTAGATTTCCTCTTCCTTTTAAATTAACAACATATTGTATGCCAACTTTATGTTTCATAGAATAATATGTGGTATGGTCAAACTATTAAGATTTCAATTTTATTTGCAACAAGTACATTTTGTTCATCCTAAGCTAGGTAATAAAAATAAAATATATCGGGTCGTTCGAATTGATTGAGTCAATTCAAGTCATCTTATTTTCAAGTTAGACTTGTTCATATTGATTTTGAGTTCAACTGATGAGGTCGGGTCACTGATATCGCTTATATTATTGTTGATATGCTTGTTTTAATAAAACAATATAATAATTATCAATTACAAACATTGATTGTTAAGTTGGTTCGGCTGGTGTATAGTCGCTTTAATCGGCTAGGATAAGGTCAAGTGATTTTGGGTAGAATATCCATGATAAAATTAGATATTAATTTGTTTTGTACCGATACTTAAATCATGTCATATACGTCCTAACTTTAAAATATTACTTTACACGGGTACATATATTTTATGAGAATAACTTTCCAAGTGTCAAAATAGAGTTGGTACCGACAAGAAAAAAACTTGTCCCAAATCTTCATTTTTATAATTTTTGTACAAGTTCTCAAAGTGTCAAATATTAAATGGGAGTGCTAGAAAATTCTAATATCTAAAAAAGATGGTATATTGTACAACACCATATCCATTCTTTTGGGTGGTATAGAAGGGCTTGAGTGATTATGGGCCAACTGCAGGCGACATCTTCCTGAATTTTAGCGTCTCCTTTTTGATTATGACTCATGAGAAAGCTTGGTTTCCCAATTCTCACTATTATGAGTAAAACTAGCTAGCTTATTTGCCTTATTCTTAGTAAAGATAAATGAGATCATATTTTACAACTCATGGCAATCCAAATCCACCCATTTCCCTTATCATATAGCAGTATTCAATTACTCATGTATAATATGTACGTAGTATATGATAGGTCACGGATTCAAATCCCGCACCATCGTCTTTAAACAGGTAAAAAAAATATAGTCAAAGTTAACACTGCTAAAAGAATATTGAAAAAAACCAATTGGATGTTGGTGAAGTGGTGAATTGGTGATAGGGACTACACTTGGTAGGAAGGACTCATGTTCGATCCCCCACTACAACAATAGGAAGGAGACTAAAACCTAACCACCCAAAACTGATCCCCGAATTCGGATTAGCCCTAAGAATGAACTGGGAGGAACACCAAAAAAAGGGATATTAAAAAAAAGGGGAAAACTTTTGTATACACCCGGTTTTCAGTAATTTACTGTACATAGGGTACACTTTTATCAGATTTAGTGTCACTTTTGTCAAATTTAGTGTCACTTTTGTCAAATTTATCAATAAAGCATAAATAACTCTTATATATGTCACGGTAACTTTTGTGCGTTTTAATGTAACTTTTGCACATTTTATTGTCACTTTATAACGGATGTTCAGTAATTTACTGAACATCCGTTTTATTTAAAAGTTTGTGAAAAAATGTGTTAATTATTATGTAACAGAGGAAATATATATTTTTTACCAAGCGTTTGTATTGACTTGTGTGCAGGCTATATGATTATTAGACTTTATTCGTTTCAACTTTCTCTATATTAAAGTTTGATAGAGAATATCCATAGAATATTCTCATCCTAGGTTTAGGATATATTTTGTATAAGATTATCTTTGATATCTGTACATATCTTATAGTTACCTAATATGATTAGGTTTCTCATTGTAACCCTATAAATATTGATCAATGGAAATCACTCTAATCAAGGAGTTTATATTATCTGACATGGTATCAGAGCCAGCGTGACATAAAGGTCACGGGTTCGAATCTCATCCACCCCCCACTTTCAGGTGGAATATTAAGCGTTGGGTATGAGGAGGGCCCATGCTGCATCCACACTTCTAGCCCAAACGGGCTCTCGTGTGAGGGGGCGTGATAGAGTATAAAACATATTCCTGGGCCTCAATCACAGCTTGGGTGAGATCTTGGGATCATATACAAAAAATTCTCACCCTGCCGGTGGGTTAGAAAATTAAACCCACCGGCGGGATATACAAAGTTTTTTATGCTTCCGCAAACACACATATAGATATTTTTTTTTTCTTTTCTCAAAGTTTTTTTTTAGAATCTTTATGTAACCTTGCGCCTCCTACCAACAGTAGCAATCGCGAAAGCCTCCTCCATTGTTGTTGGCAATCGCATACACTACCGCCTCCCACTACTGGCAGTAACCACATCTGTCAACCTACTCCATGTGCCGCACTCTATTTCCACCTCCCCACGACCAACAATGATTCTTTCATTGCCTCATTGGTTTTTTTTTACACATAATCACATAGATTTTGTTTTGGTGGTGGTATATCACAATAAGGTCAACTTTTGCACATCTCTTTTGCTATCAAGTTAGCTCCTTTTATTGTTGCAGCACTTGGAATCTTTGTGGAGTATTACTTCTTACTACCTGGTTTCTCTCCTGAGAATTGATTAATTTCAAGCGGTGGAATTTAATCTTTTCTTGCGCAATTTTATTTATTTTTCTTCAACTGTGATTTCCCGTAGTAGTGTAGTGTCTTCTTCCCGATGATGATTTGATCCCTTAGCTTCTTCTTCTCTGGATCTGCAACTTAGCCCAAGTCTGTGTGTGGCTCTTCTCCTTCTCCTCCGGCCTAGCAGTGCTTATTTCTACTCTACGTAGGTCGTGGCTGTTGCTTCTAATCGTCATCACTGGCATATGTCTACTACTTCTCTTTTGATCATGGGTTACCATACTATCCTTACCGCTCGATGCGTGATTCAGATCTAGTCCGAGCATCCGATTTTCTCCCGCTCCGACTACGGGGGTGTGATAGAGAATATCCATAGAATATTCTCATTCTAGGTTTAGGATATATTTTGTATAAGATTATCTTTGATATCTGTACATATCTTATAGTTACCTAATATGATTAGGTTTCTCATTGTAACCCTATAAATATTGATCAATGGAAATCACTCTAATCAAGGAGTTTATATTATCTGACAAAGTTGATATTCTTAATTGACATAATTAGATCACTTAATTTGATATTTTTATTTGTGTTTATTTATCATTAAGTATCTTAATTTTATAATTAAAAAAAATATAAAAATTTCATGTTTAGTAGTACACGCACACTTTGATATGAATCTAATGATATCTCATTTGATTGTATAAATTAGGTTAAAATTTGATCAAATTTGAAATAGATTAAATCATATTATACTATACTTCGTAAAACCGGTGAAGTATTAGATTAAAACAATCCATATTAGTATGAATTAAACATAACCTTGATTATTGTAAAAATATGTTTAGTAAAATCATATGTTGATTGACCTTTAGTGAAACCACTACAAAGTACAAAGTAATTATTAATATTCATTCAACATAAATTGTTAGATTACTTCTAAATGCTACGCATAGATTACTAATTTTAATCATGCTTCTAAATTGTAAAAATATTATGGGTTAAGTAGTAAACGGGGTTTATAGAAAATAGAATAAATTAAGTGAAAGTGTAGAGAATTTAATTAATTAATTAAGAACCAACTAAAATGGAGAAAGTGTTAGGATTATTTATGATCGAAGGTAGTACATATTACTTTTGTCTCTGAAGGCTAAATGATTTTGGTAGAGAAACGATAATCAAACCAACTTGAAGTAAGAATGTGACAGACAAGTGTTTTACACTTTTATTACTTACTCACAAAGAAATTAAATTAAAGTTTCAAATGAATCGACGAAGTGTCAATGTTATAAATATACAATGATAAAATATAATAACCAATCTCGATTTTCAATTGGGTATAGGAGACCTATGTTGTATTTACACTTTAAGTTTAAAAGCTCTTATGTGAGAGCTTGGGAGGGTGAGATTTTTATATTCCGGTGTGTTTTGAGTGTCTTAATTTGGTCGGTATATTTGTTAGCATGAACTTTGACTGCAAGATCTTCAATTAGCCATAAATATAATTAGTATACAAAGTTACATTCATTCAAAAAATTTATATTGAGATGATTATATTTTACAACACGGTTTAATTTCATATTAGCGATTTGACATAAAGTATTATAAATAATATGTACTAGACGTACGTAGTTTAACAAGTACTCATAGGATTACATATATTGATATATATGATCTTATTCACAGAGTATAAACATTGGTCAAATTAGTGTACATAAATAGTGTAAAACATTAAAATGAGACACTTAAAAACATCAACGGAGCAAAAACCATTCTTGTAGCTCAACAATTAGTTTAAATTTTTGATTGAGTTAATTAAGTACACCGTAATATTTATAACAGTATAGAAATAGTTGCAGAGTAGTTGAGGGGGATGAAAGAATAGTGAAGTTGCAGAAAAACCAAATTAATAGCTTTTGGGGAGTTGACTGAATGTACAATGTACTAGCTTAAGCTAATATAGCTGCATGAAATGAGTCTAAGACGTACAATATAATGACTGTGCAAAAATCTATGAGTGAATGAATGAGTAAGATCTTCACCATCATATCGTATTCAATTCATCAAATAATAAAAATAAAAATAGAATATCTATTTGTTCAATTTGTTAACTTCAAAGCTGAGCACGTACAAACGGCGTTTATGTTAATTATTAATATTAATAGAAAGAGAATCATGTTGATCGAGTGAAGAAGACTGATCTATATAGAAAGAGATTCTGAGGAGGGTAAAACTTTCTATTTTCTTTTACATTCTATGTTACTGTACTTATCCTTTATATTTACTCTTCCTTTTCTCTATATGTCCTTCTCATGCCCAGAAACTGTCTCTCTCGCTCTCTTTCTCTCACTCACTCTTTTTCGTCTGTCAATTTGCTTTTTTTTTTTTTTTTTTTTGAAAAAATAAAAAGAAAAAACTTTAATCATACGACAAGGATCGGAGTATTTATAAATGAGTTGCCTCTGATAAATAATGGTGAATTGAAGCAGTAGTAGTGAGAGTGGCAGATGTAACACTACTTATAAATAATCTTGTACTACTACTAGTCTACTTTACTGGTAGCAGTATTTTCAAAACTGATACATACAACTCCTACATTAACATTAAGATTATAAATCTCATCTTTTTCAAAAAAAATGAGTGATCCAGCTTATTGCAATTCCAATATCTTCACCAAATGTTTCAACTTCATCCCTCTTCATAATCACACTACTACTACTACTACTACTGCTGCTACTCATTCTTCTACTTCTACTAGACCTATTTCGCTTCCTAATCCTTATTTCCTTAACAATGCTACAACTTCTACTAATTACCCTCTTCCATCTTCTAATTATTGCAGTAATAATAGTGGTTTCGACTTGAATACTAGTTGTACAACTACTACTGATACTGAAATTACCTTCAACAACAACAACAACAACATATATAATTCTCATCATCAAAAAGAGGCACTTCCACTCCTCAACACCCTAATCGGGCCTTCAACACTTGCCGCTCATTATCATCATGGAAATAATGAGATGGTGTTATCCGGGTCCGGCAGTAAGGATACCGAGAGCCCTAAATTCTCAACCACTAGTACAACAGACGACGACGAGAGCGTGACGGTGTCACTTCACATAGGGCTACCTACACAGCCCTCTAGTGTAGATCAGAAAGATGAAGATGCAGAAATGGGTTCAGATGCAGATGATGATGGTTCGGTTCCTAAAACAACCCATCAAGTCCAACAACAAGTCCAAGTTCAAGGAATACAGTATTGGATACCTACCCCTTCTCAGATACTTATTGGTCCTACCCAATTTTCTTGTCCTCTTTGTTCCAAATCCTTCAACAGGTTTAACAATCTCCAGGTATATACCATACATATCACTTGCCCCTTCAATACTTCCGTTGTTTCTTATTATTTTTTGCCGAGACATAAAAATTCATCTGTTACAACTAATAAGAAACAGAGGTAGTAATTACTTATTTGTTGCAACTTATAAGAAACGGAGGTAGTAATTACGTTTATTGCTTCAAGGTTTCTCAACCCTAAACCTAATTTTTAATCTTATCAATTTAATCGACTCAGATTTTGATTACACTGAATTGTTCATTCAATTCAGATTGTTTTAATCTTAATTGATTTTTATTTTAGGGTTCTAGATGCAACTGAGTGTTGTAAATATTGACCGAGTCTTTCTAATAATAATTCAACATAAATGAAAATTGAATACACTATTTTTGAATTATCTCTTGAATTATGCTTCAACTTCATCTATAATCAAATTTCTGGCTTGCAAAGTAGAATGTGATGATTGTATATCAGATTGATAATTAACCTATTATTTCTGACTGATTGTCCAGTCAAGTACCGTGTGTTCGTGCAGTATTGGTATAAATGTTGTACTTAATTAACTTCTTGAGAAATTAGAATACTTAAAAGTTGGTTAATTATTGAAAAAACAAATAAAAATACGAAGTACAACTTAGTGATAATGTCAGCGATTGCTTAACTGCATTCCCTTTGTTAATCATAACTCATAAGTAACTTAATTAATCCTCTATTCCTCTAATCCACTCAAACAACTTTCATTTTTTTTTGAAATTGAATGTCTTCACACCTTGATAGAGTATAAAACATATTCTTGAACCTCAACCATTAATTTAAGTTTTTGGTTGAGTTGATCATTTAACATTTTCGGGCTTCAACCATTAGCTTAAAATTTTGGTTGAGTTAATACTTTAACACACTTCACAACCTTTAATTAAGTTAAATTTATTGTTAGTGTTAGGTGTTAGGACCTGTTCTGTTCAGCTTAATTTCAATTCAATTCAAATCAGCTTCAATTGGTTTAGTTTGATTCCAATCAGTTCAGTTCATTTGTTTTCAATACATCAGATCAAGCTCTTAGTCTTTCAAATTAAATTTTCAAGTTGTAAGGATATGAAATTCCCTAGGATAATGTAAGTTTTAGCATCTAAAAAACAAGTCGTATAACAAGTCTTATGCTTGTAAGGTTTCTTCAGTTCCTCAAAATTAAAAGTACTGAATTTTTTTTAGGAATTTCTGAAGCATAATGCTCTTTTGATATTTTTTTACAGTGTATTTTTGCATAATTTTTATAGACTGAACCACAAAATGGCAGCAATTTGTCTCACACAGACTTTGGTGTATTAATAGTCTGAGATACTGAGAATTTGCAGGAAGTAATAGTATTAAGGGTTTTATTACTAACACATAACGAGCTGAGCCTTTTTCTCAGGGTAAAATTTAGACCACTTTGATTGAGTTGTCTATTGTTTTCACGGAAATCCATAAATACATGTCTGTCTAGGTTTAGTACAAACAGTCACATATATACATAGTATTCCTAATTAAATCAATGCTTCCATGTTTATTAAACTACTATATATAGGCATATATAGCTCTACTCTACCTTTACTCTAGTGTTATATGTATACCAGTTTTATAAATAAGATTTCCAATTAATTCATTGAACAACAAAAAAGGTTGTATTACTTTCATGATGATACAAATTATGTCTTAGACGGACTTATTATTTTTTGGTGTTTAAAGAGTCACATGGGTAAGTGATGATAATCGATCCCGAGATTTTCTGGGACTGGGTGGGAAACTCTAATCACTTGAGCTATTATAAAATGTACGTTGAATATATTTGATTATTAACATGATGTTAAGTTCTGCCACAATATGATGGATTGACAAACAAAAAAAAAAAAATTGTTTTCCTAAGCTTTCTCAATTATTACACCTTAGATGATTTGGGTTTGGTTAATCATTTTATACTAAAGTTGAATGTATAATATTGATTTGATTTTGTAGATGCACATGTGGGGGCATGGTTCTCAATACAGAAGAGGGCCAGAATCACTGAAGGGTGCCCAACCAACACCAATGCTAAGACTCCCATGCTATTGTTGTGCACCTGGATGCAAGCATAACATAGAGCACCCAAGATCGCGGCCTCTCAAGGATTTCAGAACATTGCAAACACACTATAAAAGGAAGCATGGCGTGAAACCATTCACGTGCAGGAAATGTAGCAAGGCATTCGCCGTGAAAGGGGACTGGAGAACCCACGAAAAGAACTGTGGAAGGGTTTGGTATTGCGTTTGTGGCTCCGATTTTAAGCACAAGAGGTCTTTAAAAGACCATATTAAGGCCTTTGGTCATGGTCATTTTGCCTTTGGAGTTAATGGATTGGATGAATGCTTGGATGAACCTCATGCTTCCGATGCTGATTCTAGCTTATGATTGACGTTATTCATACATATTTACTTGAGTTTTTTTTTTTTTTTTTTTTTCCTGTTTTCTTCTTCAATCATTATTGATTTTGTGTAGTATATGGTGTAAAATTATTTGCGTTGTTATTTCTGGCTTTGTTTACTCTCTAATTGCTGCAGATAATTGCCCTTGATTTATTTTCTTAAAAAAAATGGAAATCTTGTACTTTTGAAGTTGTGATGTCCTAACAATAGATTTCTGGCCAATAGCAAAAGTTTAATGAGGCACAAATACATAGTTTGGCAGGGTTACAACACTTGGCAATGTTAGTTAAGCAACACTCCATAATAGAATAGTATTCAAGAGCGAGGGATCTATCCATCATAGGTGCGTTTTTTTTAGTCTACCTTTTTTTTTAACAATATGTGCTATAGGTTATGGCACGCTTATCAGCACAAAACAAGTAAAACATGACATTAAAGTAGACGTTAAGACATGATAAATATTAATTTGGATTGTCGTTGATGAGCCAAAAAATAATTCTTCAATTGATGTTTGGCTGCAATGCTGCATGTTAAGTAGAGAAGAGCAAAAAAATTAAGGTGCCAAAAATAAAAATAATAGTAAAAAAAATCTCCTTTCTAAATCTAGTGGTTGTCTTTTAATTTACGATGTACAATATAATCAAACTTACCTTAATTTAATTTGTTTATTGGTAAGTTAATTGAAATTTAAATTTTCAAAACTTTCAAAAACTTGTTTTTTAATAAATAATTTGTTAGTTTAAAAAAGAAAAAAGGTTGAGTTAGGCCTGTTCACATTTAATGAATTGAGCTGAATAGAATTGAACTGAACTGAACTTAACAGAGCTAAACTGATCGAAGCTGAACTGAATTGAATACAACTGAAATAAATAGTTTATGAGAGAAGTAAATTAAAAACTGAACTGAACTGAAATTAAAAGTGATAGAGTATATAACATATTCCTGGGCCTTTTGGTTGAGATGGTCCACTAACATGGTATCGGAGCCAACGTGACATAGAGGTCACAGATTCGAATCTCATCCACCCCTCCTTTAAAAGTGGAATTAATTCGCGCCGGGTATGCGAGGGCCTATGCTGCATCCACATTTCAAGCCCAAAGGGCCTTTCATGTGACGGGGAGTGATAGAGTATATAACATATTCTTGGGCCTCAACCATCAACTTAAGCTTCTGGTTGAGATGGTCCACTAACAAAAAGTAAACAGACCCTTAGTCGAAATTAATTAGGAATAAGAAAATATGGAACACTTGTGTCCTAATGTCCTATAGGCTATAGGCTATAGGCTATAGGCTATAGACCTATAGGCAGACACAAAATAAAGGGGCAAAATGGATTAAAGTGGGCAGGGTCGGTGTTGAAAAATGGTGGGCCTGTTATCGAAGCTCATGTATTACTTTCATCTTTGGCCAACACCAAACCCATGAAATAAAAAAAAAATAAAAAAAATATGGCACAGACACAGACACAGACACAGTATTACTGGAAGAATCTGATATCCACTTCTTTCTCGTCTCCAATTTGTGGTTTCGAACCTACCCGGATTACAATTGGCAGCACGTCTCATCTCCGAAACCATCGCCCTGTAAACATCTGCTGCTCTTACTCAAATTCAAACTCAATTTCAAACCCAAATTCAAATACAAATACAAATTTGAAGAAGCTGTGCTTGAGATGCAATACTCTGTATGATCCTCGTCTTAATTCTCCTACTGCTTGTTCGTTTCACGGTCACATCACCGGTTTGTTTCTATTTTTTTTCCCCTCCAATCTCAATTACTTGTATTTGATAATCAGATTTTTTTAATTTTTTTTTTTAATGTATAAAAAATGCAAATAATTAAATCAACTATGTAATGCGAATTACACGAGTGTGCATGATTTTCTTATGCATTTCTAAATTAACCGTACGAAGGATCAGTTCAGATAATACATGAAAATGTTGTAGGCTTGCAATAAGTAGTATCAATAAAGTTTGTGATAATCACTTTAAATAGTCTTGAATAGGGAAATTATATTTGGAGCAAATTTGTACACTATTCTGTTTAGAGTGTGTTTTTTTTTTTTTGGAAATTAAAATGAATTTGCACTTTTGCAGTGAATGAATCAATGTATTGTCATCCACATCGACTAGTATATAATGTACAATATTTTCAATCATTAGTTTTCATGAAAAACCACAACTGCAAATTTATACATTTCTTCATTGTAAATAGTGTAGATATCTAAATATATAACCTTGTAATTTGAACTTTGCTTCTATTATCAAGTGAAACTTGTGAAGTTTGAAGTGATCTTGATTCTTTGACATTTGCACCACTTTTTGGGTTCAATTCACAATTTTCAACACGCATGCTACATATATATAAGACATGGGGAGAAAACAATAATGAATTCATGTTCACTTGACAGGGGAAAAGGGATTATTTTCACTTGCTCCACCTCACCAGGGTATAGACGGAGAATGGACTGACGGCTCCGGCGTAATTGTCTACAAGTGGAATGAGGTAAACAACCGGCCTAATTAACACTGGTAGCGCAAACTGGAAAAAAAGATGGAGCTGTTGTTCCGAGTATGATGAAAATGCACCACCTTGTCAACACGGATATCATGTCTCTTATGATGATGGTTTCACTATGTATTAACTAGATTTATGTCTATTTCACATACAAGACACAGACTCATGTTGACATCTCACAATAGTGAACCTTAGCTTGTACACACTTATTCTGAGTTTAAAATGGAATATTGCGAGCTCCATTTCAATCACTTCTTGAAATGCTTGAGCTTTCGTTACTTCTTTACATTGCTTATTACTTGTATTTGACTGATCGGTGTATGATCAGAAATCACTAGGACTAGAAAATTTGTTTTATACTTCGTATATATGGATTATGTTTATCTAAGTCTGTAAAATTGCCTTGTTCCTGAGTCCAATTTCATGAAACTATTACAGATTGACATATTGAGCTGTGCTGATGTTCTTATTGCTGTGTTTTCATATCTTTTGTTTAGGGAATTGCTTCCTTGGGCTTTAATATAGTTGATAGAAGAATTTGGCAACCATTTTCCATCCATAATTCTATATAAATCATCACTTAATTGGGAAGAAATCAAATAATACTAGTTACTTGTATAATATAGCAGCAAACACCATATATAATCCAAAAAGATTTAACCTGAAATTACTGCAGGAATTATGGTTTGAATAGATCGAGATACTCAATACATACAGAAAAACATGAGTAGTGAGTATATTTATGAATATGTGCCTCTAGCTCTAGATGACAAGCAATCAATGAACCACGAAAACGTACACGAACATAGCTAAGAGGAGGGGGAGTAGGCTAGAGTAGAGTTTTGAAGGATTGGTGGAGGTGGCGGAGCATTTCCTGATCACGGTTCCATTCAGGACTAGGTGCATTAACAAAATGAGCATACAGCTTATTGTTGGCACATGTAACAGAGATCAAACTATGAGTAGCAACACCGTCAATCTCGTAATCGTAATACAGCTGACCATTCTCATCCCTCCTATCTTGAGAGGTAAGAGACTCAGCATTAGAAATCTGATCCAGCAAAAGAACGTCAGATAATGCTAAGTTATTAAGCACCACATCTTTAGGAATAGGATCAAGTTGCCTAAACCCTGATAAGAAGGTTAAATACTCTCTTTCAGTCTTCTTTTTAGGATTATAGAACTCACTGTCAGTGCCATTAGTACCTTTCTCTACTTTAGAAACAAGCCTCTCTTTCCAACCTTGAGGGACCTCATATGTGTACTCTGCTGAATCTTTCTTGCTCGAATTCCCACCATAACCTCCATAGTTCGCAGCGCTTGCTGCTGTACCGTAGTAGATGTTGTATGCAGCTGTGGAATCAGCCAGCGTTGGAGGGGGGCTGGATAGGACAACTGCAGCCGTGGCGATAGCTGTTAATGTAGTTGTTAACTTGTTATTAGTAGTTTGAGGTGCTGCCTTGGATAAGGAGGTAATTGGTGTGGCCTTGGTTGGTGTTTGGGGTGGTTTTGTTAAGGTGGATGTGGAAGTGGAGACTAGTGATGAGCCTGAGAATATGGTGGCCATGATATTGCGGACTTGTGGCTAATGTTTTTTCCTTCCAATGTTTCTTCCTTATCCTATCTGCATTTTTTTTCCCTTCTTCTCTAGATTATGTTCTTATCCAATAAGATGTCTCTCTTGCCCTCTAGAAGATCCCAAAGCTTTATCAAATTTCGATAGGACAACCACTCGTTTATACTTTTTCGTTCTTTTTTAGTTGACACATTTTCTTTATTATATCTGACAACAAACAATTAACAAACACTATCTTTTTACTTTAAAATAAAAATCAACTAAAATGAGATAGACTTAGGATATGTTTTGATTTACTAAACTAAACTGTTAATGAGAGAAGAAAATTAGAAACTGAAATTAACTGAAGAGAACAAACTCTTAAATTAATTAACATATACGTTAGATATTATAGGTTATCCTATCTAAATAATATGGAGTAGGAAAAAATCAGGAGGTAAGTCACGAGGTAAATAATATGGCGTAAGAGAATGACCTCAAAGTCACGAGGTAAGTTAACACCCATCTCACCAAAATTTGACGGCATTTTAATTTGGAGTAATAATTAACTGTCCACAATTGTAATCGGGCCCGGTAGTGTCGTTGTTGGGCCTTTTACATAAGAACATTGGACTCTTACAATTTCTCATATCGACCGCCAAAACAATTCCCCGCATTTCCAAATCACATAAAAAAAAAAAAAAAAAATGAAAATTAAAAAACAAAAAGAAATATTGGGTTTGAAAAAATAGAAAAATTCAGGAAGAAGAGAAGAAACGGAAACCTAACCTGAATGGTGAAAGCTGAATAATATTATCTTCTTCCTCAATTCATTCCTCTTTCAATCTGTTCTTCCTTGATTATCGACATGTCCAATAGGTATACTTTCTGTTTATTATTAATTTTTATTCTTTGATGATAATTATTTTATCATATTTATTTGTAATTTTTCAATTGATTAATTGAACTGCCTCTTGAATCTTGATATTGAGCTAAATTGATTTTTGATCAATTTTCTTCTAATCTTCGTTTTTATGATTTTAATTGAATTGAAATCGTAATTCATATTGATTAATCAATTAATTTGATGGTATTTTCGTTATTTATCAATCTTTTTCTTTTACATTTATTGTTTATATTGGTTATATGATTCTATATACTTGTTTGATTTTGATTTCACTTTTTATTAATCAACAATCCAATCCAATCCTATCATCTACGCTTATTTCTGCAATTTCATTAAGATTAAGATATTTTTCGATATTTCCCTTGCTCAATAGCTGCGGTGCCTCTTGAATCTTATGCTGCATTGTTTGGTTGTTGTTTCCTTTTCGCCGTGATTATATTATGGCGCTATTGATCAACCTTAGGCTAATTCCGGCTTTTGTGATATTTAATGTCAACATAACTATCACTTATTATAGGCTTATCTGCAAGTTCTTTAAGCATGGAGCATGTCTAAAAGGGGAGCATTGTGAATATGCGCATGATTGGAACGCTCCTGCAAACAATGTAATTGATTCTTATCGCACTTCATTTTCGATGTATGTTAACTTCTTATTCATTTTCTTTCCTACAGTTTTTTCTTGCTCAATTTTGTTGTGCTTGCTTGTAGATTTGCACCTTTTATCAGAGAGGAGCTTGTGCTTATGGAAGCCGTTGTAGATATGACCATGTTAAAGTTTCTCAACCTCAGTCATCTGCTTCATCGTCATCAACTGCCTACTCCGGAACAGAAACCCCTAAAATAACTACGAGTGGGATGGCTCCAGTCAGTCCAGTCTCCATTTTTCAACCAGAACTGTCGCCTTCAAGCAGACAATTCTTTCCTCCCAGCAAAGCAGCATGGAGTCAACAGTCTGATATCTCTGATACCGTGGAAGATGATTTGATTCCTCAACCTAGGAGTGATAGACTGGCTGATCAAGTTATTTGCTCATTTGCTGCTGCTGGACACTGCCCCAAGGGGGAGAAGTGTCCTCATATTCACGGGGAATTGTGCCCTACTTGTGGAAAACACTGCCTGCATCCTTATAGGCCTAAAGAGAGGGAGGAACATTTTCAAACCTGTGAGAAAATGCAGAAACACCTTGAAGCACTGAAACGCAGTCAAGAGATAGAGTGCAGTGTGTGCTTAGAACGTGTGCTCGCCAAGACAGCAGCCTCTGAACGGAAGTTTGGTTTGCTATCAGAGTGTGACCACCCATTTTGTATAACTTGCATCAGATTTTGGCGTAACAGCTCACCAACCTCTGGAATGGATGTTAATTCCACATTGAGGGCTTGTCCTATATGTCGCAAACTTTCGTATTTTGTCATTCCAAGTGTGCTTTGGTATTTTTCGAAAGAGGAGAAAGATGAAATTGTTGACAGTTACATGGCCAAGCTTAAGTGAGTATTTTCTTCTCATTTTCTCGTTATTACTTGTTTGAGTTTGTTCAAAATATGATGGCATCTAGAGTTGGAGCCAGTAGAGGTGAGTTTCTTTGGTAAATTTTGGCCTTTGCATCCAAACAGGATATACTTCATGCTGTGTCTGGTTGGTGCAAATCTTATTTCTTTTTCCGAGGTTTGAGTTTTGGGGGGTTCCTTGGTCCATTTTTTTTAAAGGTCATTTTATGAGTGATAAAAACTTAATGAGTTATAACTAGATTGGTATATTGATGCTAGTGGAATTTATAAATGTCCATAATTCTCCATGTCTCCATAGGAATTTTGGGATTAGCTGTGTCAACTACACATGTAATGGGAATTAAACTCATGCTGTGTTAGAAGAGATCTAGTTCTAGCAACCCAATGGAGAGAAAGGGACCAGAAAGGGTAGTAGCAGTTTTTACTACCTCCGTCACTTTTGATTGTTACTTGTTATCCTTTTTGATTGATATAGTTGTTCTGATTGTTCTTGTTTTCCTTTTTGGAGAGAAAAGAGATCCTTTTTTTTTGTTCCATTTCTCAATTACCACCCATTGGTAATTAATACCCAATTTTCACCAATACTCAATTAGTACTCTTTTTCATTTTCAACCTCCAAAATAATATATTCCAATTTCTTAATCTGCTTGAAAACTATAAAGATGAAAACTATAAGTGCATCCCACAAATTATATAGAACTAGGCCTTGTTGATCTCATGTCTATATACTTAAACTGTCTAGTAAAAAACTTAAAAAAGAGTACATAACTGATCTCATATCTTCTAGTTTTCTGTTTTTCCTCTCTTTTCTTTCATATTCAATCTATAGCAGTAGCACACCCTTCAATTTACTTCCAAAAAAAAAAAAAACCCTTCAGTGTCTGACTGACCCTCTGTCTCTTTGAAATTTTTATAATCTCTCTTTCCATATTTCATCTACTAAAACTAAAAGTATGTTGTCCACCTTTTTAATTAATTTCTCTAGTGTAGTGTTGTCAATAAACATAACTCTGTATCTCACCTGATAAATTTCATGTCTACCCCCACAGAAAAAAATAATAGAGTCAATGTTGAAACCTTTTGAGGCGAATCTTTAAGGTATAGAAAATCTTAAAATGGATTCCCAACATAGACTAAGTTCTTTATACATGGTTATGGAGGCACTCCTTCCTTGGTTCCATTGCCTGAGTTCAAGGTTAGTATTCAGTAATTTAGTAGCAAACTAGCATTCATGTCATCGTTATGCTGGCATATCCCAGGTACTCTTACCCTTCCAGAACACCTCCAACTTTGTAAAATTGTTTTCTTATCTCATCTACTGAAAACCTGAATTTGAAATGCGCTTCTGCCTCTGCATTCGTTTCTTGATTGTCTCAATCATATTACTCTGTGATTCAAAAATTAAGTGGTAAGACGCCTTCATGTATTGCAGGATCCCCCTTAAAGTAAAGGAACAAAAGAGTTGCTCTTCCACTC